GTTCAGCAGTTCTAAGTCCTGGTTACAGCCCTCCTTCCTCAATTCGACCCTCAAGACAGAAACAGACCTCATGTTTCCTAACTCCTAACCTTGCCTTTTTGCAAGACTCTTCTTCCTTTTCAAGCACATTTCCAGGCATGCTCCCAGTCCACTAGATGGCAGTGAAGGTAGAGAATTAGAGTTTGAACATAGTTTAAAAAAACCTTCTCCCTTTTTAAGTGTTCAAACAACACAAGAACCCAAGAAAATATCGATTTACTAAGATTAAAAAGTATTTTAATGCCCATACAAATACTGATCTTTGTTAGAATAGTCCTCAGACACAGCAGAAGAAAAAGCATGCTGAGTATACACAAAATAAACTGTACTGATTTAAAAAGAAAAAAGTCCCATATGTCAAACAATATTTAAACTTCTGATGTAAGAGAAGAGGTATATAACTAGAGATAAGCAGGAAATTCAGAGATTCACAGATAACTAAGGATAGGGATCCTATCTCCCTTTTCTCTAACCACCATTAGTTTAAAAGTTTCAGAGGGGTAGCTGTGTTAGTCTGTAACTGGAAACACTTAAAAAACAACAAATAGTGTTCCAGCACCTTAGAGACTCATCTGCCAGCTGGGAGGAAGTACTATATGATGAAATTCTTCCAAAGCTGATGTTAAGTGACACATCCCAATCCACAGCCTGGAAAATGAGGAATCCCAAGTGCATGATGTAGTCCCAACATTTTTTGTGATTATAATCGCACATTAGCATTTAGCGCACACAACTGGGGAGGACTAGAGATAACATCAAATGGGTGAGAATGTTGGTAAGGTGGGGGTTTAGGAGGATATTGATGTTACTAGACCCCTCTGTATAAGCTGTACCTGTAAACTCCTATTTTGACACCTATTATTAACTCTTGTACAAAAATTAACCATTGATAATTACATTTTACAGTGTGTCATAAGCAGTGACAGTCTGAAAGGTGATTGCACAGTACAATTTGTAGGCAGTTACAATGATTTAAGATGATGAGAATAACAAACTAAGAGATACGTACTGAATAGCGAATATTGTGATACAAAATCAGAAAGAAGGAAGCAAAAAATTAAACGTAACTCAATTTTGTTCAACAGCTTACTTAAAAATGTCACTTGTACAATGGACAAGCCCACAACATTTGAAAACTTAAAAACATACAAGAGCTTTATAAATGATACTCAACACATCCAGGAAAACACCATTTACTCTATAACTAACTAGGGTGAAACTCAACATCTGCAGTCTGATCCTGGCCAATTGTAGTTGTTTTTTTGCAAGAACTTATTCTACTGAATAAGCCCCCTTAATATTTGAAGATCACAAGTTATTGTTACCTTTGTAGAACTACAAATATGAGATGGAGCATAGGATAATGAAAGAAATAGGGGATTTGGAGGAGCAGAAATGCTTGAGATTTAGCCCCAATCTTCCGCTGACTCACTCTGAGGCCCTGGACATCATAATCTCTGTATTTCACTTTCCTCATGTGCAAAACAGGAGTAATATTTATTTCACAGGAGATGGAGAAGTAAGCCATTTATTATATTCTTTGAAGATTTAATGTGGCATGTAATAGTTGCTTCAAAAATGCCTACAGATGCATACAAGTAGATTCTTATAACAGGATGGGATTAAATTCCTGGTGGCACTTCTTAGAACAGCACTGTAATTTCAGCAAGAAGGTCTGTTTTACTTGGAATTATTACTCTACTTTAGGGAGCAGCCAAATAGCAGGATGTGAAAGTAGTGGTTTAGGTAATTGAAACACCTGATCTTCCTACACACACCTAAATATCTTGACAGAGTTGTGTGTATTTGCATGTGCATGCATCTGAGAGAAGTTGAATTTTTTTGAGCCATAAAAGATCTCCGTAATACTTAGCACTATACATCTTTAAATGCTTTATAAACATTAGGTAATTAAATCTCACAACATGTCTGGGAAGTGGATAGGTAGATATTACTATGTCAATTTTAGAGGTTAGGAAACTGAGCCACAGAAAAGTCATGTGGCTTGACCAAGGTCTGACAGCAATTAAGGGCAGGAGCCAGGGACAGAATTTAGAAATGCAGAGCTTCTAGCCTGTAATGCACCACTCTGCTTCTCTAACTTGGCTTTTAGTTCCCAAGTGCCATGTTGTGACACATCACATTTAACTGACAACATCAGCCATCTTGTAATATACAGCTTATAATGAGCCTTACTCAAATCCTAAGGATGTTAATGAAAAGTTAATCTCACTTTGGTTTCAGTGAGATCAGAATCAGACCCAGTGTTTTTTTCTCATTCTTTTTATGTATTTCTGTCTACATTTTCAAACCTGGGTTCCTAGATCCACATTTAAGTACAGGCAGTCCCCGGGTTACGTACAAGATAGGGACTGTAGGTTTGTTCTTAAGCTGAATCAGTATGTAAGTCGGAACTGGCGTCCAGATTCAGACACTGCTGAAACTGACCGCCAGTTCTGACTTACATACAGAATCAACTTAAGAACCCCAGGCGTCCCCAAGTCAGCTGCTGCTGAAACTGATCAGCAGCTGATTCCAGGAAGCCCGGGGCAGAGCAACTCTGCCTGGGGCTTCCTGTAGTCAGCGCTAGTCAGTTTCAGCAGAAGCTGACTTGGGGACGCCTGGGGTAGAGCAGCTGGGGTGCTGCTGGGTTGCTCCAGTAGCGCCGCTCCTCGGTGCTACTGGACCAACCCAGCAGCACCCCATCTGCTCTTCCCCAGGCGTCCCGGTTCAGCCGCTGCCGAAACTGACCAGCAGCGGCTGAATACAGACAAGAGGAGATGGGGG